AAAACTAGACGGGAAATGTCAACAAGTCTGTAGAATGGCGGCCATTTTGAAAAATAAAAAATAAAAAATAAAAAAGGCCTCTTCCTCAATTTAAAAAAAAAGCCGGACGTGAAACATGTTTTTTTTTTTACTTGGCCTAATAACACATTTTTTTAAGTTAAATTGATAAATTACATTTAGAAAATCCAGATAATTTACTTCAAAAAATGTATAAAGTATGAAATAATTACCTTATTTATTGTATAATGAAATACTTTCTTAAAAACTAAAAAAGATGTGGAATTTGTAGACTTATTAAGTCATATGTGACCACGATCACTCTAATGCACATTGAGCATCTGGAAGCCAGTTGCAACATAAGTCATATTTTCATGTAATTATTTTCGTAATTATAAGAGACTGACAGATGGTTTCACCTACTGTTTTTATATTGATAATGATAACTTAAATTGATTTAATTTATATGTCAGGTACATAGGATAGGCATTGCCAATAGCACATATCAGCATCTTGTGTGTAGGCGGTAATATCTTAAACACAACATAAAACAGATAATAATGACATATGTATACCAGACAGGAATTGAATTTTTTAGTACAGAGGAGTATTATTCCCTACTATTTTCTAGAATGTTTTCTAGGTTTCTTTCCTTGCACTCATGTGTTGCCTACATGAGATCAAAGCTTGGAATCCAATATGGAAGACATGTAAATTACATAAATTACCATATATTTATTCGAATAAATGCCCCAGGGCGTTTATTATTGAGAAGGTCTTTGAGAGGTGTTTCTTCGAGGGACGCCTTCTTTTTTTTTTTGAAGTGTAAAAGGGATACTCAAAAAACGTCTCTAGGCGTTTATTTTTATTCCAAACGAGGGTCTAGAGGAGCATTTATGTTATTCGATGGAGAGTTTATTGTAAGCAAAGAGTTTATTAAAATAACGACGGTATTTATGCATACATTTTGTTATCAGTTACTAGCCGAACTCACTAGTTCTCTACCTGATGAACAGAATTGTGTAGTTCACCAGAAAGAAGGGACAAGATTTTTCAAGTTGGCTAATTGATTCATTGACATGCCACAATTTGATGTCCAAGCTGTGTGTTAATTTACATAAGTGGATAGTAAATTGCTTTTGATGTCATTGTATAATGATGATGTATTAGTGTATTAACCATTTGCACATTGAATACAAAATCTCCCAAATACATCAATAGTTTAATAATGCACAGTGCCCTGATATGCCATTTCATGGACATAGTTTTTATCACACTTTTTATTATAATCATGTAATGATACTGTACTTATGAAGTGCATGATACATTGTATTATGTCTATGCATTGTGCAGCTGAAGCTGTGGGCTTTGAATCGAATGAGCAGGGAGTTCAAGTAAGAGTCTACCCACATGTTTTTGTCATTCTTACTTGTATTCTTGGGCTCTTGTGAAGCATAAGTGCTTATAAATGCATTGTGTCAGGCACTTTTATTTACATTGTTTACTTATTATCATGTGTATAAAGTGACTGCCAGGTAAGTTTAATTGCAAAGAAGCATCATCATTACTCCCCCAGGGATCTGAGTTAGTATCTATTTTAAAGGAGTTTGAACCAATGACCAGTATAATACTGTGAAGCAAGCAGGCTTCATATGCTATGCATTATTAAGCTTACATAATTTGTTGATGCTTTTATGGTTCTCAGAAGCCGATTCAAGCCCCCCCCCCCCCAAACAAATAATTGCATTCAAATTTATGTTTGAGTGTGCATTTTCTGGCAGTCTATAGGTGCCACTGACAGAAAATTTGATTTGCTAGGCCCTCTCTATTTCAAATTCCTTGTTGTGCCACTGGTGGTTCTTGTATTTTGTTATTATTACTTTTATTATAATTTTTATTGTTAATATTATTATGATTTTCATTATTATTGAACTGCTTGTCCAATTTGGTTTTTTTTTCTCATATTAGTTTAACGGTCAGCTTTGATTCAATGATTGGTAGGTAAACTAAGCTGATTTTTTTTTTTATCCACTGCATGTTATAGTTTTTTTTTTAGTCTTTAGCCAATTTTAGTTGTTTTTATTTCTGATGTAGTAAAGCACATTTTGTTATTTTAAGCATTCTATACTCTTGGTGCTGTCAAGTTATACAGGTACTATTAGATTGTTTTTTTTAAATTTAATATTAAAGGTATACTGCCATGCTGAAATCATACAGATATACAATAAAATTGCATGTTGAAAAATTTAGATATGTTTTCAGCTTTTAATTGAGAAAATATTTTCCTCGCCAATGATAATGAATGTTTATGAGTGAAATGAGAAGAATATTTTCATGAGTTGAAGGATTGACTTTTCACTCAACAGTGTGGAGTCAAGTTGAATGGAACAGTCAATCTTCCAAGATTCTTTCCATTGCATGAATACAGACATTCATTATTCATTTTATAACACACCTAAATAAAAATAGATCCTTGTCATTTGATATTTTATGAAAAAAATGTTTAAAGTCAGCCTTTCTTCTAAATGGAACAATTCATTTTTTCTTTTAACCAATGAAAACACGGTATTATGTGGAGGCGTGCAATTGGACAAAACAAATAGAACAAAAAATGCATGGATGGAACTATATTGCTATGATGAGTGACGAAATGGTGTGTCGCGCCAAAATTGGTCCGGGCCCAAAAATGTCTGGCGAACAGATTTTGGCGGCCAAAATTGGTCCGCCGGACTATTAAAATCGGTATGCGTCGGCCTAGCCACTTTATTTGTAACTCGTCTGCTGCTCGTAGGGTATGATTGTTTCTCCCGTGGAGTGGAGGAAAGTATGCTTCTCCCACACTTGCAAAGTCTTTTGCAGTGACAGACTGATTCATTAAGCTTTTGAAGAAGTGTTTTATCAAACCACCAGATAATGCATTTCGTAGGCCTAGGCGATAAACACAGCGTGCATAATTTTCGGCGGCCGTGGTTAGGCCTACGTTTGTTTGGGCCTAAAATGAAACACAAGACTGATTTATTAGTTTTAAATATTTCTTATTATTGTGTGGGGTATTAGGTCATACAATAGATACATGAAATAAAGGAGTAAGCATTCTCAGAATTGAATGCATGTACCAAGGAGGTATAAAAATATTTTTATACCTCCTTGCATGTACTTTGTCATGGCGTTAAGCTGCACACACAACCAAAGCAAAACAAGGTAAAAAATGAACTACAGCGGACCAACACGATTTAACACCACATCGTTTAACTTCTTTTCGTACACCAAAGGGCTTACTGATGAGTACGAAGCTTTGCTTATTAATTTTCAAAAGTGATTTCAACTATGATTTCACACATACAATAACAAATGAAAACATGTTAGGCTATATAATAAGAGATAATATATTTATCTATCATTTGATTACAAAAAAATATGAACATTATAAAATTACAAGTTATAACTATTAAATAGACGCCGGACCGATTTTGGCTTATGTGAACTAGGTAATTTTAAAGCCAAAATCGGTCCGGCGGACCGATTTTGGCCCCGGACGAAATTTTTCCTGACAGGTGTAAAAAAAACCGATGTCACGTAATACGAAATTAACCAATCAAATGACAAGGATCTATTTAGGTAAATAATAAATAAAGCACTGCAATACCATTCATAATTCATTAAACTCTTGCATTGGATGGCAGAAAAGTTTCTTAATAAAAAATTCTGAAAATTAGCATAAATTGAATTACTTTATCTGTATCTCATTCATTAAATGTTTATTGAAATTAAAATACAGTACTGTATATCTTTTAATGCAGCTAATGCTATTTTTTATGTTGGTATTATTCTTGATATCTTAAGTCCTATCCAGGCTATCAAATTTTATTTGACAATGTGACATGCCTAAATATGGTCATGATGACATCACATTATGATCATATATAGTCACATCATGACTATATATGGGCATACAACAGTTTTTTGTCAAAACAAAATTGATAATCTGGACAGAGCTTTGACAATACACATGCACATGCCATAAATATTTTAAGGGGACAGTGCATGTTGTCGATAAAGTGAGAGCCATGTTTTCAACATAAATGTTGGTCTACAGTAGTACTGTACAGGGAAAATGACAATCTTTAGTATTTTGTTGCTAGTAGTACCAGGGAGATGTAAAAAATAAATAAAAAAAAATATTTTTTACATCTCCCTGGTAGTACACTGTTTCTTTTTGAAAGCATTTTGTTGGTTATTAAAAGGACATTCAGGGAAATTGTGTTCTTACATCATGATGTCCTAGTTATCAGTGAATCTCTTAAGAATTCTAGATGTATGCAAAAGCAAGCCAACAGTGGAGACTAAGACAACAAAATTTAACATTTCCATCCCCATAAAGTTTTAGGGGAGTTTAGGATGGCTTGTTGTCAACAGAGTGGAGGAACCTGACTTTCAATGTATCTCCTTCCTTGTGCTTCCTTAGTGTACAAATATCTCTTGTTGCTAGTAGACAGGCTTTACTAAGTATAGGTAGATAGATTATACATTTGTACATGTACCACATACAGTACTTGTCTACAATTACACCAATGGGTTAGGAAATATGGTTATAGAATATCAGATACCTTGTAACTTTATCTGTGTGGTTGCAGTAGGAAAAACATATTACACACCTTCAAAGACGGTTTAATATCAGATGAATATCATTTGATCTATTTTACTAAAATTGAATTTAACACATGTTTATATTCAGCTGCTGCAATTGTGTCATGTGATCTAGGTTTGTGAAAGTTTGAAAAAATGTCATAAAATGGTGATTATGATTGGTGGATTCAAGTAATGAGATATAATTTTATCTTATGAGGTTCAAATCCTTAACGAAATTGTAACAGAAATACTAAGTACTCTTTTCATTTATATATTAATTATATAATTTTGGTAATTATAAAACAACAAATTTTAATTTGATAATAGATGTAATTATATATTTTATATTACACTTTTATAGTTTTTCTTAACCCAGTCTACTGTTCACATATATTTTCCTAACATGTTCTTTGTATACATATTTTTTTTTACATTTTTTAACTAAAACTTTTCACATTTAGTTATTTATTTTTATTCAAAATCTTTTTAAGTCTCTTTTTTAAGTCTCTTTTTTCTCACTTTGATTTAAAAAGAATTATGGTGATTTTCTTGGAATTGTTCTTTTTGCGAGCTTAAATTTCTTTGTTTATTTTAACTGGAGACAGTAAATTTCATCTTGTATTTTGTATCATTCTTTACTTAACAAATTTCCAAAAATGAAATTAGAATAACTTCATGAAAATCTCCATGAATTTGGTATTTCGTCCATAATACTGTATGATGTAATAATACATTCAGCTGAGTGTCTTTAAAAGACATATCCATGTGATTGTGGATTGCTCGACATTTAATTATTCCAATTCTTTCATGAAAATTGTTTAAGCTTCAACTTTTTAAATTCAACCTGCTTTTTGAATGCATGTTACCTTTAGCTACCTTTATATATTATGTGCTTCATTTACATTAGGTAGCACTGGATAGACCTACTATCTTGTATTACAAGCTATGTTACTTTGAATTAAATGTCATAAATGTAATTTTGCATGATGTTTATAAACAAGAACAGATATATAAAGCTCTGCATGTGCTGTATGCTTTGGATGTTCTTTATTTTGGTGGTAGAGTAGCGTATTTGTTTACTGAGATTTTATAATTTGCTTTTTTTTATGTACTGTATGTTACAGTGTATATTGTCTTCAAAATATTATTTTTTTATTCAAGCAAAATCATTATCTATGTTGCTAGCAGTTTTGTAGTTTAAAAAATGTTTGTACCTTTATGCTAAGTTTCATCACCCAACAGCACCATTTTAAGTAGATTCTCCTCACCTTTTTACAATTTTTTTTATTTTTCTTTGGTATTGACATATTATTTCAGAATATTAAAGTAAGTATGGTATTTGCTTTGAATGAAGTTGTTGAAGGCATTCATTTTGTGTTAAAGAACATGGTATAGTTCGAGCTTTTTGAATGGCTTGCATTCAAATAAGGTCTCCCTTTAAACAATCTATTAAAAAAACACATTTATAATAATTTTTTAACCAAAGCATGAAATTCCCAGTCCCAAACATGGGTTTTAATTGAATGGAAACCTGAAATAGTAATAAGAATTATTATTATTATTATTGTAGTCATCATCATTATTAATATTATTATTGTTATTGTTTTTTTTGTCTTTTATTATTATTGTTTTTATAGTTATTTTTATTATTGGCCATTTTATTCATGTTTTTTTTTTTCAATTTCAGAATGATAGACTTCTGGATCCAACAGAGTTAGACAGTCAAAAATTTCCTTGTAAAATTTACAACAAAGAGATTATTATGGACAATAATGGAAACATTTCCTCTGATGGAATGCCTTCTACATGCACTTCAACATTCCTTGCTCGATTAGCAATAAGCAAAGACTCTGGACCAATCACAAGTCACATAGAAACCATCCCTATTTACAGTGCTTCTTTTTCTTCTTCTTGCAATCTATATAGTAGTTTTAAATGTTCAAATTTTTCGCAAAGAAGTTGTTCAGATTTTGTAAGGGATAAGTCAAAAAATACCTTGAACAATGGCCCAGCACCTAAGAAGGAACCAATTGTCAAAGAGGTAACTGCTGGAATATCTTCTAGTCCTGTCTCTACTGACTCAAGTGGATATGGTTCCCGGAACTTTGCAGATTTCCTTAGCCTTACTTGTATTGATTTTGATGATGATGATGATGATGATGTTGATGATGATGAAAGTCAAAGTGAGAATTTAAAAATGAAAAATGTATCATGTACCAAAGGAATTAATCTAACTAGAAGGCAATTGATGGAGGACTCAAGCAATGTTACTGGCAATAATGATAAGCCAGTACTTGATAGATCACAGCAGATGCATGCTGTAGATTCAAAATCACTATCAAAACTCCAAAACATTCGCCCATCTGGTGAAAGTTGTTTACCCTCTTTATTATGTGCTCAAAACAATGAATTATTGGAAGAAACTATAAAATATGAACAAACAAAACGTTTAAGTGGCAATTTCAGAAATTCTGATGAAAAACATTAATTTCAAAAGCTGAACAGGAAGATGTTATTGTACAGAATTTTGTTTAACTCTGGGACACGATTACTTAATGAGAACTCTACTACAAACGAAAATACTTTGAAATGTTCTTCCAATGTAGCAAGTGTATTGTATACTTTGGAATCACATATAGATATGAAAGACTGTAGATATCAAGGTCTCTGAAGCAGCAACCTTAAGCAATGAAAATGTGGTGATAAAATGTGGCTCTCAAATTTTCAGAAGATATTATTGATCATTCAGCTGCATGTCACAAAGATCCATGCTCCTATGAAATTAGTATCTGCCCAGACTCTCGACTTCATGAGGTTACTTGAATGTCTGCCCCAGTTCCTTTGGCTCTCCACATTAAAGAAAGCAATGATGACAATCCTGCAGCCACATTGGATGTTCCCAACCTAAACTGTTACTTCAACAAATTGGCACTATCTCTGATAATGTCCAGAAAAGAAAAGTAATTCAGAACACTGCAGATGGCAACAGTACTGACACTGACACGTTTAGTGTTGGTAGCTTCTCCAGTCTGCTATCAAATGATAGCTGACATACATCCAACAGCATAGAAGACATGCGCATTGAAGATGTCAGTTTGTGGATCCCAGATTGGATACAGCTTGGAGGAAGATCACGATTTGGCAATTCTTGAATTGGTGAAGTTGTGTTCCTTGGTGAAACATCTTTTAAAGAAGGAATATGGACTAGTCTGAGACTGGATAGAGCCAATGGTAAGTACATTGAACTAATTATTGTAACTTTAGGAAATATAACTTATCAGTAATATAATCATAAATAAATACATGTATTACAAGAAATTTAATTTGTGTCACATTTTGAAAACATTCTAAAATCATTTTTAATATGTCTGACTGCCATTTTATTACTGCAGGTAATTTGTTTTCTTTCAAGATTCTGTATTATTCCTTTATTTTTAAGATGTTTTAATATACTTTGTGCATACCCACATACTGATCGGTCATTGAAGCTATTAGCTCATGTGCCTTATGATGTTACAATTTTAGGAAAGGAAATTACATTACTATGTGTAATTCTATTGCGATGAAATTAAAATGTTAAAAGAACTTGAAAACTCATGGATATCAAACTGAGATCATGCTTTTTTTTAATATCATAGTTCAATGCATTTATAATAGGCACTCGATGAATGCATCTTAGAATTATGAATGAAATTAATCCATTTATTATATTCAGGTAATTATATCATATACTGTTCTCTTGCCTGTGGCTGCTACTGAAATCCCATAGAAACTAATAATAAAAATCGAATGAATATTAAATATTTATATGAGTTTGAAAAGCGATTTAATGAAGACTTCGCAGGATGATCAGAAACAATGTATGATGTCTGTGTTGAGTAAAAAACTAAAAGAATTTAAAAAAGAAAATAAAATAAAATGCTCTGTCCAGATTATCAAATTTTCCTTGTCAAAAAACTATTAAATGCCCATATATAGTCATGATATGCCTATGGTCATGATTTGTCTATATATGGTCATGATGTGATGTCATCATGACCATATTTAGGCATGCCACATGTTTTTGTCAAATACAATTTGATAGTCTGGACAGAACTTAAAGTCAATTGATTGAGTAAATATTGTCCTTTCCAGTTATTCTTCATTTGCCTTTTGGCAGTAGTCAAGCCATTAGTTCTTCCAGTCCAGCATCTCACAGTCATTATTGCTCAAAGTGGTCATTTGTTTTGCTGAGCTGTTGTTTGATTCGTGTGTGTTAAGGCAGTGGCGGCTCTAGGATAATTTTTTCTTGGGGGGGGGGGCTGTCCGACGGGGGACTTGGGTTTGTAGGCCTGTGCTTGGAGAAAGGTTTGAGAGGGTATTCCCCCTCCCAAATGAGATTTTTTTAAGAATAGGAACCTCTGGATGGCCAGAAATGACACTCTCTGATTGTGACAGACATGTGCTCCCTATTTTTATATATTTTTTAGTCTGACTGCCCAACGAGCTCTGTCCGAAGAGGGGGGCTTGACCTGTCTGGTGGGGGGGCTAAAGCCCCTGCTGCCCCACCCGCTGGCACCGCCACTGTGTTTAGGTTCCTCTGTTTCGTTTTGCTTTCCTTGTTCATTTAATGCTATCTTTACTGATATGTCGTTTGACAGTCTTAGCATGTCCTAGCCAGTTTAATCAGCTTCCCAATTAAACAGGCACTTAAATATTTCCAATTAATTATTTGCACAGATTTTTAATTAGCTATATTTATTAAATTGGCAAAACTTCAATCGTTTTTGTCTGTGTCTAATTAGAACTTAGTAAATTTTAGATAAGCAATTAAATGTGTTTTTTTAGATTCAAATGCATAATAGTATGTTGTATTTCACAAGGAAATTATAATAGCCAGTGGATATTTATAGGGCAGCAGTATATCTTTATTTGAAGAAAATAAAAGAAGAGATGCAGAAACTTACATCTGCCTATGATGCATGTCCCTCTTAGCTGCTGTTAAACTTGGATAGCTTTTAATTTTTCTGATATGTTGTCTTTATTGCCATGTACCATATCATGTTTTCATGTTTATTCAGGAATGATTTTTGTTTACTTATTAATTATAATGTTGATTTCATCATTATCCTTGTAGTGTTATGTAGTTTTGTAGTTTTAATGTTTTTTCTATAAACTGTAAAGGAAGACAATTTACCAGTGGTACCTATTATGTTGTTTTTTGTAATTATATTTTGTTAACAATCTGTGTCATTGTGGCATTGTTAGCTGTGAAGTATTTACGTGTGACACCTGTGAAGTATGTGTTAGGTGACACCTGATATGTGTGTGTCATGTGACAACTGTGATATATGTGTCATGTGACCACTGTGATGTATGTGTCATGTGACACCAATGATGTATGTGTCAAGTTGACACTGTAATATGTGTTACATAATAGTGGCAAATGTTTATTTTTAAACTAAAAAATCAATAATGAAAATGAAAATAGTATTGTTAAATTGTATTAAATTATTGTTGTTTTTATTTTTATCATAATTCCCAACACTTGAAGAGATTTATCGTCAACGATGACTCGTCTATTCTCAGCATATTATTCTTTTTTTTTTTTAATGTCATCGAAATAGAAGACGTTGCTATTAAGAAAGCAATTAACCTCAGGTAGCAGGTGAAATAGAGGATCAGAGACGTATTGTTTGAAGAAATGTTTAGATGAAATACCATGCTGATGACAATCAACTTGGAAGCTCATTAAACCGTATGCTGATTTCAACCTTCACAATATCCATCGCAAATTATGTTTAGACCTCCGGAATCATAATTACAAAGATCATCTGTCTGAAAATATAAATTATAGCATGTCTAATCAAGTTTATATTTGGAATTTACTATTTGGTTGCAATTAATAATACAAAGAATATCGCTTGCAATATTTTGTACACATTTTTATTGTTGGTTACTTAGCAGCCATCCATCGACCTTTAATGTGTAAAACCTACTTGAGTTTGAATGGTGAAAGTTGCCTTTCAGGAGAGTTTTAAGACAGATGTATAATGTTTGATGAGATGTGCATTGTGTATCAAGATGTTTAGTGTTTTAATGACAATAAGATACAGTGTACAAGATTGTTCTTACTACAGTTTAGTGTAGTCGCATGTTGCCCAAAGGGCTTTCAGTACTCCAGTTAATTGCTTTTGTAGATAGTGTCAAGTGATAGGGCATATTACTAGTGTAATCGTTTAAGCTCTAATTATTATATGAAATTTGAGGTAGATTAATTATGTTACTGTTACCATTCCACCTCGCATTGCATGCAAACACAATGCATTGAAGGCATACTGTAAAACATCTAAAGTTGGGCACACACTGTGGTCGTCGGTCTATGGAGAACGCAACACCATGACATTTGCGCAACAGATTGTTTTTAATGATGATTCGTTCAGACTGCCGCTGCTTATCAGCAGGCAGTGTTGCACCATCTTGTGCTCACAGTGAGCGGAGTTGGATTTGTCGGCCAACGGTCGTACAAGCGTCTTGCAATGCAGTGAGTGCCTGGCTTCAGAAGTGCTTATGAGGTTTTTTTTGTTTTCCGTGTGGTGCTTCTTTTTTTTTTTCACAAGACTTCAAGACCAGCGCTTATTGCAAATTACTTGAGTGTTACATGTGTTGTAGGCCTATTTGACTTGTACATGAAAATCTTGATGAGTCAAGACAACAAAAATTTCTCGATGATTCAAAACATCAAACATGTTGTAATAAATACTCTTAATTGAGTACTGCAACGGTTTATTCAAAATAAGTATGCAGTATCCCTGCAGTACTCACTGCTTGCTGTAATTTGATATTGGCGCTAAGCAAAATATGTATTTACGTTTTGGTGCTGCGATCATTGAAGGGCGGCACTTATTTGAAGAAAAAAAAATTAGAACATTGCAGGCATTCTAACAATAAGGATTTAGTGAGTTTTTGCAACATTGAATGCAAATATGTCACTTCACATCTTGGTTTGGCAAAGAATAGTCCTATAAGTTTAGTTAGTATTAGAATTAATATCGATGTTGGTAATAAAAATTATATTGTTTTTCTGCTTATGAATGATTGATGATTCTCGTAGACTGTGGCAGATATGGAAGGGATCGTATAAAAACGTATAAAATTAATGACATGAACCTTTGTTTTTCTTTAATAATCAATGTCAGAATGATCAATCATATCATCACCATAATGATCACAATGCCATTCAAATTTAATATCATCAGAGGCCATACATCATCATTATTATCTTAATCACGAACATCAATACCTTAGCCTATAGGTCTGTACTTATTATTGTAATTGTAATCATCCTAATGATGATTTTCATTACCATTGTTATCAGTGGCGGCTCTAGGATATATTTTCTGGGGTGGGGGATAAGTTGTCCAACAGGGGGACTTGAGCTCGTAGGCTCGAGCTGGAGGAAGGGGTTGAGAAGGGGTTCCCCTTCCAAATGAGATTTTTTTAAAGAATAATCAACCTCTGGATGGCTGAAAATGGCCTTCTCAGACTGACAGACATGTGTTGGCTTGGTGTGGACCTATTTTTATATGTTTTATGGTCTGACTGCCCGACGAGCTCTGTCCGGCGGGGGCTTGACCTTTCCGTTGGGGTCTAATCCCCCCTGCTCCCCTGCTGGTTCCGCCACTGATTGTTTTATCAATTATTGCCACCCTCTGTTTTTTGACCATGTTTCATTTATGTCTAGTTAAATCATAATTTTGAATTATAAAATATAAAGATTTTTTTTAATGTTAATAGTATTACACGTGTATATTATTGTTTTTTTTAATAACGCATGACTTTGTCATTCTATTTATAGGGAAAATCATGGTTTCTTTGTACATCCCATTCGGTTGGTTCGGGTCCATCAGGAAGACAACCACAGCATCCCTAATTCTCTCAATCAAGATGCGATGCAGTTATGAAGCTTAGTTTGGATCTACAGGAGAGTCCTTCCAAAATGAAGTGTCATAATGATACTGTGCTTGCAGTGAACCTAATTGCAAAAGTGGTACAAAGCGGCTGGACATTTTAATCCTAATGGTGTTTTATAATGCTATAGGAATGGGCAGCAGATAAATTTCTTTTATGACCCTTAGACCTATTATTCACCATGTTGTCACAGAAAATTCATCATTGCCAGTGAAGTTGCACAGTGGAACTTGTAACTACATATTAGACCTATAATATTTATTCAAATTTATACACACATTGTGTAGTCTTTTTTTGCACCTAAAATTTACTTAGTGTGAACTGGTGTGAACCAGTCCCCGGGTGTATATCCTGTATGTGCCCTTGTTCTGGTGTCAGCTGTAACATGCTAAATTAATTTCAATGTGCCTTACACTCAAATATAACTCCTAATATTGCAGTATCTTTGGTACTTGTAGCTAGCCTTACAGTAATCCATGTCTGATAATTATTAATGCAATCAATTTGTTTAATTACTGCTACTTCCTCATGTATAATTAATCAAAATGGCTGCAAGCCGAATTATTAGCGAGACTAATTATTTACATATATTTGGGAATATGAACTCATATTTCATATCTAATTAACATTTGCAAACCAAGTATCTGTTGCATGTTTGTACTACCATATATTAAGAAAAGGTGGCATATTTTAATGCCTGTAAACGTATCCGGAGGGAATTGTCTTCAGAATGAGGTTATGGAATCAATTTCAGAGAGATATTCTTATTGGTACCATTGTTTTAATGCCAACATTTTGTGTGCCCACATCATCCATTACCTGTTGAAAATTCCAAAATCCTGATCTGTCCATCATATGATTGGATTTGATGCATCGTGTGGTGTTATCTGTAGACACGCTATCAATTAAGTTACTCAAAGCTAAGATGTCATCGTTGGAATTGCCACTTTAAATCAGGCCTATATTATTTTATTAATTTAGGCCTATTATCCTCTGCAATCTACTCAAATTATGGGCATAAAAAAGACAGGCTTACAGTTTGCTGTTATAGTCAACTTAATCACTTAAGCATATGATAAATGCTTAGTTTAAGATGTTTACTTTAAATATATCACTAGAAATACTGACGACTTTGCTTAGAGGTATACATAATACCTAAAATAATATTTAAAAAATATATATATGAAAATTTGCAACAGCATAAGAAGACAAATGAATTCGAATGTTTTACACTTTTCGTTATTTGTGTCTTTAAAATGTTGTTTGCTCTCTGCAAAGGAATTAGACTATAGAATTTTGTATGATCGAGAAAGTTCTTTTGGATTCAGATTCATCCTGTATCAAGCAAGTTAATTGGACATTTCCTGGCCTAAATTTTAAGCATTGTAAATAAATTCTTCTTTGAATTATGCTCAATAATTACATATAAACGTGTTCCTTATTGTTTACGCTTGTAAATTGGTTCAAACAAGATTGTGTGCCAAATCTTTAGGTTAAAATTCACTTTGGTCGTTTAATCAGTCCTGAAAATAATCATAAATAACATAAATGAAATTATGGTATACCAGCAGTACAAAATTAATATTTTTCTGTTGTCAGCATAGTCTCACTTTGAAAGGATTTTAAAATATTGAGTAATCTGTTGTTAGTGAAATTTAAGAAGCTTTTACAAATACGAATATGATCAACTTAATGAAATTAATATGAAATTAATATGGAATAGTACAAGAAAGCAAAATAAAGATAATATAATACATAAAAATATAAAATGTAAATTACAGATAAAAACATTAATTCGATATATTAAAATTGTTTAATAATCGATTATTCTAGACCTACCTATTTAATAATTTATGTAAAAATTTATTTACAATTATGATAAATATCAAGCTTTTAGAAACTTGCTGATTTTGATGGTTCAATTGACGATTTAAAAATATTTCTAGAATCTTTACAGTAAATGGTTTTATGGACACTATAATATAAACTTTCGAACATGAGAGCAGAGGCTATTACAAAATGAATTATACATCGAGGTTGTTGAACTAATGTTGAAGTAATTTATGGTTGTGTTATTAGTTGAGTTAATCAGATTCCTTATTTGAATTTCTTTGTATTCTTAAGTTATACACATTCAATTGAAAATTAACAAAAATTATATATTCCTGGCCCAAAAAATGCATAATAACCTAGGGCTATGTCGCTATCATTTGCGTAGATCCTTAAATTGGCTGACAATAATGATTTCGTAGTAAAGGTGGTAAATCATCGAACATCGCATTGAGGTGTCTTGTACGAAGCTGATAACTTATATAATCTTTAAATAAATGAGCAATTTATTGTTTTATTTGACTTTTTGAGTTTTCTCTGGTAGACTGTCTTTAAGCATTGACTTGAATATCACGATTATATTAACAGATCTGTTTGCCTTCTTATTTATGTACCGTATTCATAGCTACTATTAATAATGGATTATTGATGATATTACTTTGGCTGAATCTACATTCGTTATTATACTGTTGGATGTTGAGCCGTAACAAAGGCTTTCATCTAATCAAATTAGCCTATGCACATATGTTGATACATGGATAGTAAAAGTGGTAGTGTGTGCTCTGCTCGGAATTGTTTCTTGCTAATATAGGCCTAGACCTACATTAATTATTAATAGTTCTATATTGTGTTTAATATGTAGGACAACAGTCGTTTGATCGACTTACACTGTGCACTCTATAATATGTTGTCAACCTGATAAATTTGACTCTTCTCGTTACTAAACAGACAGATTTCCTGATTATTCTCAATTTCTATATCGGCATCAATTTTCTTTAGGCTATAAAACACTAAATTAATATAAGACATTTTGTTTTGAGAATGATCCCCAAATCAGATTTTTAAAATTTATTCCAGAGAGACTTTAAGATTCTATCTTGAACCCCATGCCCAGAATCCCTATCCACCCGATATCTCCTGTCCTGGTAGATGTATCATGAAGTACAAATCAGAATTTCACAACTCTCATGATAATATTCAGCGACAAAATTATTAAGTGCTTTTGCTATCAAAATTTCCTTGTGTCGTCGTCATTGGATAGGTTTCAGTTTACAGAAGATATATTAGAAATCATTGGTTTCTATTTTTAAAATTTTATATTTTATGACAAGAATGTAAAAATTATTTTCTTTATCAGAATATTGAAATTATATATAGACTTTGTAAGGGGTTGTTAGTATAAAGATAACTTGTCTGATTTGTATTGTTCGAATTATGACGTTTTTTTGTGATTCGAATCTTGTGCAATTATCACTAATTTCTGGGGATTTTTTTTATTTATTTTTTGTTAGTAGGAACAATACTTAACTTATTTGGGTTTTAATTGGGTTTATCTTTTTAATAGATCTGTAATTAAGATTTAATTTAATTTATGCATTTTCAATTTAATCTTAGCTGAATTTTTAGGTAATGCATGGTAAATTTATTTAAATAAGAATACTGTAATAATGATGATACTGTAATTGCCATGAAATTTCCAATTGGACATGATGAGTTGCAATCTATGTGTCTGATTATTTTTAATGACTTGATGATGGCACTGATGTATTTTTGAGTTTAATTGCTAACTAAACGAAAGATTAAAATAATTGTGTTTCTCCTCTAACTGTAATATTTTGTTAAGTAGGCTTAAGCTCAATTGTGGGTTTCTCCGACGTGTGGTTCATTCAAAGGAGAAAGGACTAAATTTTTGCCCTAGAAATGGAAATAATATTGACACATTTTTTATATCAGCAACTATTTTGTATAAGTATAGATGAACTAAAGCGCGCAACCTGCCGTGGCTGTTGGGGTACTTTGTCATAATGTGTAAATCGGGCAACTTCGATCTCAAACAAATAGTACACGGAAGTTCAATCAAGTCACGTCGTACCGCGTGCGTTGACAGGTTTGCTATAATACGCAAATCGCTATCCGATTGTACATGAATTTGCTAGGATGCGCACTCTAGTTCATCTACTATGTTTAGAAAGAAAGTCTTCAACAAATTGTGGCAAATACATTTAGAAATTTTGCATTCTATGTAAGGCGTTACCTTATAGTGTAATGTAATAAAATACTCAATAGAATATGCGACGTGTTTCGCCTATTCATAATATTACAATTATTGGAATCGTTTTTGCAATTTATAATCCAATATATATATATGTTTTTTTTTTCAGAAAGTGTATTTATTTTTCGTTTTAAATTGATTATTGATGACATTGTAGTAATGACCCATTGTGTTGCATCTCATACCAGTGTGCCCTCATGAATACTCAAGGTATATGGCTAGGCTAATCAACACATACACTTGCACTCAACCTACACTCATGTATTAAACATATAAAACATAATACTTGACGTTGCTGTAGGTCTACATACAAAGTTCCAATACACAGTGTTATACGAATAATTGCATAACAATATTTGCTATCGGATAGATACACTTAACACTCCAATGCACATTACAAAGCCTGAAACAAACAGTACATATGTAATTTGGTTGTAAACGAATATTAACATACAATATTGTGCAAAAGATATACCGTATACAAACGGTCGTTGCTAAATTTGTCATCCTATATAATATATTTGTACATATGTCTGAAATTAATAGTATATAAATACAGTACTAATAGATATGTAAAGAAGGGTACATACCGAAATAGATTCATTTACGTGAAATTCATGTCTCATTGTGTATTATTTGTTTTGTTTTTATGTTCACGAGGCGATCCAGTCAGCTGATCTTTCAACCATTATCTATAACCTCAAAGATGTATTGTCCCCTGAAAATAATGTTAAAATTAACTTGCTCATTTTGCAGTAATATACAAATTATTAACTTGACCATAGAAATTACTGAAGTAAAAAAAAATTTTTTTTAATGATATTAAATTTCTTCATAGTACCGTACTTGGGATTTGGGATTGGACTTTCGTGGTTAAGGCCTAACCTCCTTTAACATTTTTCCAGATTTGAACCCATGACTCGCTGAACTATGCATATCGCTTGGTCCCATGTTCAATTACCATCGCTGCTTCCTTATGTTTCAGCTGGAGGGCTGAAAAGCAAGCTTCAATGGCGCACCGTCTTTCGGAAGAGACTTAAGCTGTTGGTCCTATGTGCAGTACCGTATGGCCCATATGCACGTTAAAGGACGCACTACACTCTTCGGAAAAGAGAAGGGGGTTGTCTCTCGCTGTACTGCCCAATTCACCACCAGAAGGACCCCAGTGGACTGTCTTTAGACTTTTGTAGGTTAACCTTTGATGTGTAGCACACCAACGAAATCCAATCCAATTGGAAGAGGTAACATAACACTCTCATCTTGAATGAGAATGTTTACAATCTGTGGCGCTGATGCAGTATATCGTTTCGGTTAATGAACACTATAAATAATAAAACAAAATGATTTTACTATTTGCATAAGATTGTTCGTTGATGCAATGTAAGGGTTATGCCAATATTATTTTCTGTGGTCATAAAATTGGAGCATATAAAAAATGACGACGACGGTGACGATGGCGAAGGCAGCAGCGGTGACGACTGCGATTGCGATGATACTACCCATTGATTGATAGTGGTGTATTAATATGATGGGTACAAGTTAAATTGTATGTTAATAAGCCTTGTATAGGCTACTTATACGACTATCAAAATGCAACACAGTGGTATTAAGTACTGTAGTTGTGTCTAATATGCATTAATATGGTACCATTCATCAGGGTAATTTAAATTACAGTGAAGCGTGGTTAATTGCGCATTATAACCATCAACGGAACTGTTTCCGTCTACGCGTCTAAACTTCGTGCTAGTCACAATGTATCCATCATAAATTTTGAGTTAGCTGTTAAAAATTGTAAAGATTTCTCCATCTTGTGGTTAGCTGACGATACAGTCTGCTGTGGCACTGTAGGGCAATCAGTGGCGTATCTAGGGGGAGTGGGGGTGGGGGGTGACGCACGCCCTAGAAAAAAATTACTCGCGTTCTCCCAGTCGCCCCCCCCCCCAAAAAAAATCACCTAAAAACAACTTTTTTTGCGAATTAGCGCCCCTCAACTGATCATTAAGCCCATCCCCATTTCACCTTTGCGCTCCCCAACCGCCGTCAGCACCCCCATTTCAAGACTCCTAGATACGCCACTGAGGGCAATAGGCAATAAGAAGTGGTGGTGGTGATGATGATGATGATGATGATTATGACGGTGATGATAACGATATTAGTCTGTACTTATATAACGCCACAATTCGAATTACTGTATAACTGGTCATCTCTAAAAATAAGTGTTATTCCTAACATTTTCTGCAAAGTAGATAGATGAAGATCAATATTCCAACACAATATATTTCCCCATCCTACCGGTGAAACTGGTCTAAGGGTGGGATTGAAGAAAACAAGTACAGTACGTATGAAGTTTACTCCCCCAGGACACATCAGTGTTGATTCTGTGGAAAAATGAAGAATCTGGAATCTGGATACGAGCCCTGGACTATACGTCCCGAGGGCACAAATTTCAAACGCTGCGCCAGCCGCTCCGATATTACCAACATGCGTTTCTTTTTTATTATGCCCTCATGTCCCTATGTATGTATGACACTTTATGATTTATATGCGTATGCTTAGTTACCTGATCCTTAATTAACGGGATATAATTGGTTATACTCCTCAGGGATATGATTTGTCGGTCTTCTGGAGGACGAATTTCAAAGTCTATCAATCCCTGAAACCCATCTAACAACAGAAGACAAAAACGCACTGTGTTTAAATTAAAGAAGTAAAAAAAAGGTTTTTTTTTTTTTTTTTTTTTTCAAATAAATTCCGTGTTTTATTCCAGCTATTTCTAATTGCTTGTTTGATTGATTGGTGTGTTGGTTGGTTGGTTGAATGATTGATTGATTGATTTATTTATTTATTTATTGAATAATGATCGGTATCTTGATTGATTGCTGTGTTAGTTTGGTTAATTAATTGAATTAATTGGTTAATTGATTAGTTGATTGATTGATTAAGGGATTGATTCATTGATCAGTTGATTAGCATGATTCATTTATTTACGACTGACCGATTGATTGATTAATAAATATCTTTACGCATTTTACATCTATATAATAAGAACAAAACTTTAGATTAAGATAGGCCTATTTTGATCATAGATCAGTTTTCTGTATATTTCAATATTAATAAAAGGAGGGTACGATTTTTACAGATGTCTTTCTTAATTTTGATGAGAGCAAGCGGTTATAACGATCGTCGACTTCATGTACACCATTCGTTAAGAATGATTGTTAAATCGGAACAATCGATGCACAGCGTTATATAATGATTTAAGCAGCTGGAGGCAGTTATTTTCTCATCTCGGGGTTTTCAATGCCACCCCTTGCTTCGTAACTACGTTCCTCCTTGCATGCTCTCTTTGTCTTCACTGATTTAAAAAAAAAAAATCATTTAAACAATGTCTTTCCGCCTAATACAATATAATGACAAAACTATAGGCCATATTGCGTGACGTCACATCCCGGCGTGTTCTCAATTGCAAAATGTTATAAATAATGTATTTGTGATTGTTGTACATCAAGTGAACATTGTAATTGTTTCCTGTGGATAATATCAAATATATATTGAATCGAATATTAAATAGAATAACATAATAAAATGGACATTCGGAGTTTGATAGAGATAGAGGCTACTCTAAACAAGATTACAGATGCTTTCATTGCAATCAAAACATATATGAAAGCAAATTGGTTGCGTTAATAGTTGAAATATCTTGCCTGTCCGGTGCCCCACTATATTTTGTCAAAATATTTTTTTAATGGAGATAAAAAGAAAATTATACTCACAATTTTATGTCTGTGAGTGCCATTTAGAGGTGTCATAATCATAAATTCTCTTTACCTCAGCCCTAGATCTTGTTAGGCTGAGGTTTTATAGGCTGTACAGCAGCTGTGAAAGTCCCTCCCTGGCCACTTTGTCAAATATCTGGATCCGCCACTGACATTATATCATTTACTCGTCGTTAAAAACGTTTAGAATAATAATGCAAACACAATTAAAAAACTAACACACCTAAAATCCCACGCTGGAATTGGAGACCAGGACCCAAAAAGGGCTCCCAGTTTCAGAAAGCCACAGGGCCCCCGGCCCCATCCTTACGCCACTGCATACGAACTATAGTTTTTAATCAACAACCGTTTTTAATTGATTGGACGTGAGCTGTAGGTCCTATTGCATGCGTGCGTATGTGTTAGAATTCGCACTTATTATTTTGCTATATTTAAAATGGTCGATGATCATGTTATTATATAACGCCTCCCCCGATAAAACCCTCTCAAGTTGCTTTTAAACCACTAAAAAAACTGCATTAAATGAATTAGTGAAAAAGCACGAAACGCGAAGGGCAGAAAGGTGCGCACTCCGATTGCGTCGCCATAACTACACCGTACCGTGTACACGCACGTAGCACGGCGTCACAAGCTCGTAGCCACGATTTTGGTAGGGGGGTTCTTTTCGATACTGAAAGGGCACTTGCGAGCACCATTGGCTGGGGCCGGGGGGGCACCAAGGACCCCCTGGGGGTCCAGCATTCTAAGCATTTACAGGTGTTATTAAATTGATTTGAGAGGCCATACATTTAAAAAAATCTATATATTAAAGAGGTAATTTTTTGAGTTGGGAAAAGATAAAAGA